AAGAGATAGAGAGAGAGAGAGGGACGGAGAGAGAGAGAGAGAGAGAGAGAGAGAGAGAGAGAGAGAGAGAGACGCCCAGCAGCAGCTCGAACAGAGAATCAAACGTTTCCTTCGGCATGCGCCGAAGGCCCTTGCGCTGCGGCCCCCGCGCGCCCCGGGGGGTGGGGGTGGAGGCCCCGAGGGCCCAGTGAACGCAACGTGCCCGTTAGTAGGTGCTCGATCGATCGCGGAAATGCGGCAAAACAGAGCTAACTCAGGGGGGTCCTTCTCGGGCCCTGGAGCCGCGGCGGCCCCTCCCCCTCCTCGCCCCGTCCGCGGTGCCCGAGCAGGTGCCCGTGTCGGGCATGTGTGGACGTGGCCGAAAACACGTTGACTCTGCTGTCTCTGCCACTCGCGATGCATGTCTGATAAAGTCAAACCTTCCCGAGCCAAGGACGCGCCCAGGACATGCAGCTCGTCTGGCCAATCTTACCGAACAGCTGAATGGCCACAAGCTTCCAGTTTTCGACAGAATCGATGACGACAGTTTTGCCGTTGCATGTCAGTTGTGCGGCAAGTATTCCGAGTGCACTTCTAAGAGCCCCCAGAAGAGTTGCCCCCCCCCACCACACACACACACACGCACATTTTACTTCAACCTTTTTCAGAAGCGCTTGCGCGCGCCTTGCCGAGGGGAGACACCCAAGGGCCTCCAAGACGAGCCCCAGTGTCTTCAGGCCTCCTATCCCGATTGACGAGGTTGCCACCCAGGCAGCCCAGGCGCACAGCCCTGCATAGTTCCGCCTCTTCTTTGTTCTAGAGTCCAGACAGTCCCACACCAGGGACGCGGCTTGCCCAACGTGGGCAGCGTCGAGTCGTCCTGGCGTCGCCTCGGACACTCTGTGTACTTGTACGTGCGTGCGTGCGCGCGCGGCCCCGCACGCGTGTCAGGCACCCCGACTCCGGGGGAAGGAGCGCGGGGCCCTCTTTCCTATGCGGCACGGTGCTGCAGCTGCGCGCAGGCACGCAGCAGGTTCGATCTGGGGTTTTGTTTCGTCCTGACTGGCGGTGCTGGTGACGCGCAGCCAGCCCTGGAACTCGAGCTTAGGGGTTCTGCAGCCAGGCGAGGCCAGCCGTCTTTTTCACTGCAGCGTGCTGTTTGGCGAGACCCTGTTGCACGGCCGTGGAGCGCTTACAAGCTCCCTCCACGGTGACAGTGGCACAAGGGGCGACCCCCGAGGGTTCCTGGGCACGGGGGTGGACCTGGGTTGCCAGCCCACCCAGACCGTTGCTCAGCCCCATCCCCTTTCCCCCCCCCCGCTCCTGAGCGGCGGAGGGACAAGACGCTGAGTCTAGGTGTGCAAACGCCACGTCAGGGCCCATTTGTGTACTTGTGCGTGTGTGCGCGCGTGCGTGGCCAAGCGCGCGTGTCAGGCACCCCGCCTCAGGGGGAAGGAGCGCTGCGCATTCTCTCTGCGGCGCAGTGCTGAAGTTTTTGCCCAGGCCCGCAGCAGGATCGATCTGGGGGTTGTGCTGGTCATGGCTGGCGGCGCTGGTTACGCTGCCAGCCCTGGAAACCGAGCTTTGGGGTTCCGTCAGTCAGGTGATGCCAAGTTCCATTTTCACTGTGCGTGCTGTTTGGCGAGGCCCTGTTGCACGGCCGTGGAGCGCCTGGCGGCGCCCTCCAGAGTGACAGTGGCACAGGGGGAACCCACGTATGTCCTGGGCACGGGGGTGGACTTGGGTTGCCAGTCCGCCCCGACAGTTGCTCTGCCCCACCCCTCCCCCCGCGTTCGTGGGCGGTGGAGTTGAGGTGCTGCTGCGGCTAGGTGTGCAAAGCCACATCAGGGCCCAGCACCTCGTTCTGCGTCGGCAGCGCTATGCCGTCTCAGCGGCCCCACCCGCGGCCGCTGTGGAGAACATTGGTGGCCCAGAGCCACGAAGTTTCGGGTTAGGGTCGGGTCGGCCAACCCTCAGCCTCTCTCTTAGCCAAGTGATGGTCCTCCTGCTCCTCCTCCTCCTCCTCCTCCTCCTCCTCCTCCTCCTCCTCCTCCTCCTCCTCCTCCTCCTCCTCCTCGTCCTCCTCCCCTCCTCCTCCTCCTCCTCCTCTCCTCCTCCTCCTCCTCCTCCCTCTCCTCCTCCTCCTCCTCTCTCCTCCTCCTCCTCCTTCCTCTCCACCTCCTCCTCCTCCTCCTCCTCCTCCTCCTCCCTCCTCCTCCCCTCCTCCTCCTCTCTCTCCTCCTCCTCCTCTCCTCCTCTCCTCCTCCTCCTCCTCCTCCTCCTCCTCCTCCTCCTCCTCCTCCTCCTCCTCCTCCTGTAACTCCGGGATCAGCGCGTGCGAGTTCAGACCGAGTGGCTCGGGGCGGCTCCCCGCGCCTGGGGGGCGGGCCCTCGGCTGTCGCCGGCGCTCCCGGGACGGCCCTCGACCGCCCAAAAGACGGCGCTCGGACGCTCGAGGAAGCGCCAGGGAGCCGCACGAAGAGCCCCACCAAGGGCCCAACCCAGAGATCCAACGCATTGA